ACACGTGCTTGAACGTCACCACTAAGGAGGCGGGTTTCTCGGTGGAGCTGGTGGCGTCGCGGCGCAGCAGCGTGGCGTTGGCGGCGGTCATGGGCTCCATGTTCGCCCTCTCCATCATGGTGCTGCTGGTGGTCTACATGGGGCGCCGCGTGCAGCAGCACAAGTCCTGCGGCCACTCGCTGAAGAAGTACATGCAGCACGCCATGTCCATCCCTCTGAACGAGCTGTACCCGCCGCTCATCACGCTGTGGGAGAGCGAGGCCGAGAAGGACAAAGACGACAAGGAGGAGGAGGAGAGGGAGGCGGGAGGGAGGGAGGAGGAGGCGGGGGGGAGTCACATCGACACCACAAAGACGTACATGTGGTAGCTGGAGGAGGGGGGAGGAAAGTTACCAGCCGAGAGAAAGTGACTCAGTGAAGAGCCACACAGACTGCATGATGGGTAAAAAGATGTCTCTAAATGAGACGGGGGGGGGGACTGATGGAGAGACAACAGCCTCCAAAACACATGCTGCTGTTTCTTTCATCCTTCAGCCCGAAATCACAAATCCTGCATCAAATACGAGCCACATGAGCGTTTCTTAGACCAACAAGCTGTCCTCCAGCACGAAACTCTCCTGCGCTGCCGCCGTACGGCCTCTAGAGGACGCTGCCACGAGAAACGTAAACATGCTGCACAAACGAGCTGCATGGGCAGGACATTTTAGTTCTTTTGCGATCACGTTGGGGCAAAGCAGTCAAATAAAACTACTTTTCAATAATGAAGATAAACAAAAGTGTAGAACGGGACACTAATCAGACATTAATATTTATTGAAAAGGAAACGGGGTCTGTGGTTTACGTGCTAAAATCTAAAGAACACCAGCAGGTTTCTGTTCGTTCTGTTTCTCAGCTGGAGGTTCTGTAGACTCAGATCTGTTTCTCAAACTGCGGGTCGGGGGCCGCTAATCGGTCCGTCAGCTGGTCCAGATGTTCTCCTTCCTCTCGGCTGTCCTCTTCCCGCCGTCGGACACACTGACAGCAGCTTTACTGTTAAAACAAATCAGATTCTTGTGATTTAGTTCATCTGATGAACACGAATGCAGCACTAACTCTCACTTTTCTAAAGATTTCACTTTAAATGTTGTCAGTAGCACTTCACCGTCTCGTCTTCTCACTCTTCAAACTATTTAGAGAAACGAATGTCTCGTTAATGTAGCGTACAGACGGGGACGCCTGTAAAACAAAGCTACACACTCGTATTTATACATACAAACGGATTCTTTTGCATGATTTTTATTGAGCATAACAACAATACTTTAAATACACTGAGCTCGAGACACTTTCACATGTTTACAAAGACGTAAATGCAGTTTTTTATATCTTCGCTCCAGTGTATTCACGTCATTTAAAGAAGCGCTGGAGAATTTCACAGATTCCAAAAGCAGGGACAGAAACACTACAGGAAGTAGAAACTCCTTGTGCTATATACAAATGGACGCATGGTCACGACCCGTTGGTGTCAGTTTGTAACGCAGTGGGTGGAGCCCTGCAGCGTCCGAAAACTAAAAGTCAACCATGAATGCTTTTTAGTAAAGTTACCTAGGTTAGGAAAATCACATTACTGTGAAGCTCTGCTGAACTCCAGGCCCACGAGGGTTAAAGCAGCGCTGGAAAATAATGGGGGCCCCACAGAATATTGACACTTTGGGCCCCATGTGGACATTTTCACTGAGGGGTGTCCTCACTGTTGTTTGCCAGCGGTTTAGACATTAACGGCTGTGTGATGTGTTATTTTGAGGGGACAGCAGATTTACACTGTTATACAAGCTGCTCACTACTTTACACTGGAGCAAAGGGTCATTTCTTCAGTGTTGAAACATCAGATATTTACACACATGTGAGGGACGGACTCACTTTTATGAGATACTGTAACTTATGTTCGTTCAGTTCAGTGACAATTTAGTTATTTTACCCAACTAAATTCAGACATTTCCAAATGTTGACCAGTAGTTTTATTCTGAAAGTCTAAACTGTGACCATGGAGCCCTACACGTCCAGAAACGATGCTAAAGCCCCGGACATACTTGCTTTTAACTACGCGTACGCAAGATGGCTGCCACGCGTATCCCGCGTTCCTTTGGAGCGTCGGTTGTACACGTCTCCAGAAATTAACGCTACGCGTCCGGGAGGTGCAGTTCAGCACATGAACGTGGGGTCAGTGTGTCGATCTGACCTCCTGCTCCACACTCCAGCCAGGTGGATGCAGTCGATTTGCTAACCACCATTAAACACAAAAGAAGAAGAAGAAGAAGAAGGTCAGCAGCAGACTTAAAAAAGGAGATTTATGGCGGAATGTTTACAGTAAAACTCCTGGACGTCCCTTTAAAATCTCAACCTGCTCGAGTGTCGCCGTGTTTGGTTTGTTTACGATGTGCAAATTCGGAGGAAGGTGACCCGGTCCTGGTCCGCCCCCTAGTGGATTCACGTTTAATCCTCCAGGTACACGCAAAGTACGCGGGCAAGTACGTGAACAAAGCCGTTTGTGTCACCGACGCCTGTAAAAAGCGAGTATATCCCGGGCTTAAAGGGTAGCCAGGGCGTTAAACAGCGACGGCGAGGGGTCCTGACCGAGCGTCCGTCTGTGAGGAGTTGGGTTAGGAACATGTTGGGACGCATCGCACTGAATCTCCTGAAGTTATGTTACACATCAAACACATCTCTGAAGAAGAGAAAAGGTTGTTTGCTTGAACTAGTTTCCCTGTTGTCAGGTAAAAACCTCCAGAAGCTTCCGGTCACTAACTTCTGGTGTCGTCTGTGTCGGCGTTGAAAAGGCGTCCTAACGAACAGACGGATGATGTAAAGCAGGACATCAGAGGTTTGGACTCGCAGGCTGATCTCTGAAAAACCCAGAATGTTTGAAGAAAAATGAAAATCGTGTTATTGTCTGCGTTAATCTACAAACAGAGAAAGGACAGATGTCATTTCCACGTTTGGATTAGAACGGAACGTTTCTTGATCCAGATGGACAAAAGAATCTTTCCGTCAAACATCCTGCCGGGTTTCTCAGAGAGATTTAGGTAAATCCGCGATGCTGCTTCTTGTTCGACGGCATCTGAGGCGTTTCTCAGGCGGCGCCTCCCTCGCTCCTCCTCGAACACTTCCTGTCGTCCGGCCTGTGCGATCGGGCCGTCGGTCCCTTTCAGTTCAGCTTCCAACCAAACAAACAACCTTCCGTCTGAATCTGGGACCTCGCTGACTTCAGTCACCGACTCCACCGTTACGAGCTTTATGGACACCCTCTGCGCCCTCAGTGGGTCTGCGCTCCGCCTGACCCCCTGAGGGCCTCCGGGTCGGTCTGGGTTTAGCTGCTGGTGCTGCAGCCTTTGCACTCACGCGTAGGACTGTTTGTACAAAACCACGTCTGTGTGACAACCTGCAAACTGTCGGAGCGGCGTTGACTTCAGTCTGGAAAAACTCCGTCGTTATGAGATTTACCTGAACAGAAAGACGCCGAAGACGAGTTCAGCAGCCTGACATCCAACAAGCTGAAACAAGCTCCTCCCACGTCACAACGAGGAAGAAAACGTTTAAAATGAGATTTGAGAAGTTCTCTGGTACGTGTGCGATGGTTTCATCGCGTCACCTGATCCTGGCCTCCTTATATTTGAGAGGTTTTCTGTCAATTTGAAAATGCGAGATCGTTATGAGACTTGTTCTTTTCTTATAATTATTAGATGCTAGTTCACATTAGTTGCCGTTTCATATCTCAGTAAACTGAATATATCTGTCGACAGTTCGGCGTGTTTCTGACGCCGATCCGTCCGTTTGCAGGTTCGTCCTTCAGACTTTTAGCCAAATATTTCTTCAACTGTCTGTCAACCAAAAGACTTGGGGAGCAAACGCCTGAAGGACGCTGTGGGCATTTAAGGAATATATCTCCTGCGTACACACATGCTGTTAGAAAGTGTTTCTCTGGTTCCTCCTCTCTGACCACAGTCTGTTTCTCACTGAATCTCTTTGGCTTCTGGGCGTTTGCAGACGTCACGTCGGCCTCGGTCAGCTGTAAAATGAATTCTTTGATTGTTTCTTTGCACATGTGAGACTTGTTTTGTTTCCACCGTCAGAATACAAAGACGTCACAGCTCGGACTGCTGGAGTCTGAGCAGGACACGCAGCTCCGGCCTCGAAGCCACAGTTTAGTTCTGTTGGTGTTTCTGAAGCTCTGGACCGGCTTTCCCTCTAACGGACTCTGAGGAAGACTGCGGCTGAAAGCTTCAGAGAATCAGAGACCCGCTCTGCAGAAGATTTTACTGATCTGATCATCAGGTCAGTGTGGAAACAGAGCGGCGGCGCCCTCCGGTGGCCATCAGAGCGAAGAACCAGACACACTCCCGTCACACTGCTCCTCTCGTTCACGTTAAACTGGAACATGCAGGGTATTTTGTATAAAGTGTATCGCTCTATATTTGAAGAAAACTACTGCTTATTATTATTATTATTATTATTATTACTATTATTACTATTATTACTAACACTGAGCACCAACTGTAACTAAAGGGGTGTGTGTGTGTGTGTGTGTGTGTGTGTGTGTGTGTGAGATAAATATAAATACACACTTTGTCACTCTACAGCCTGGCGTCTGTCTTCTAAATCTGTATTTATATATAAAACTGTATAATGTAGAATATCATGCAGCGGCTGCAGGAGGCGGGGCAGCGGCTGCAGGAGGCGGGGCAGCGGCTGCAGGAGGCGGGGCAGCGGCTGCAGGAGGCGGGGCAGCGGCTGCAGGAGGCGGGGCAGCGGCTGCAGGAGGCGGGGCAGCGGCTGCTTAATCAGAATCACAAGCAGCTTTATTGCCAAGTAGTGTTTTACACATACGAGGAATTTGCCGTGGTGATGAGCTGCTGCAGGCAGACAAACATACAGTCGACATAAATAAATGTAGAAATATATAAATATGGAATAGAAGAACAACCTTGCAGATATACATGTGCATTATTCTGGGTCTGTGCAGAAGTAACGGAAGAGAATATTGTGAACATATAAATATATAACTGACAACATAAAAATACACAACAACAAAGATCAACAATCAACAAGGTGGGGCGGCGGCTGCAGGAGGCTGCAGGAGGTGGGGCGGCGGCTGCAGGAGGCGGGGTCAACACAGAAATGTATTTGTCACCTGTGGGCTGTGTGAGTAGTCAAGAGGGTCCACTGGTCAGGGGCTACACCTTGAATCAAGAACAATTCCAGAAATGATTCACGTCCTCCAGTTTTGACAGAAAGTCATTTTTCACTCTGAGCTGCTTTCTGCAGTAAAACACTCGGTGGTATTCAGTCAGACTGCAGGTGACCTGCAGACAGTTAAAAAACACCCAGACTCGTGTCTTTTACCACACAGGCCTGTTTTATTGTAAAAGTACTTTTGGAAGCTCAACAAACAGACAGTGAAGGTGAAACAGCAGCTCTGAGAGTCGGTCAGGCTGCACAAAACACCAGAAGTGACCGGAGCTGAAATGTTGAGTTTCACAGTAAACTTGTTTCATGGAACAGAAATCTGGTGTCCGGGTCAGAGGCATGCTGGGAAATGTAGTGACTACTGTGATTATCACGCTGCCATTTACAGGTTTATTACAGATGTTTGCTGTCTGGAAAACATGCAGAAAAAGATTCTGCACGTTTGATGAATCAGACGTGTTGTTCAACTTTTAATGTTATTTAATAAATTAATTTAGTAAAGAAAATTAAAAACACCCCGAACATCTCTGCATGCAGCGCTAATGTAAAAATACCCAGGAGATGGTTTCAGACGCCACGATGCTGGACAGAAAAACAGTCACTCCATCTGAGTCGGGGATCACTTTTCATGAATCGTCATTTGCTGATTGAAAGAGAATAAATTCCACTTTATTTAGCCCTTTCATGCCACACACTGCCACCCTCTGGTAGGCCGATGTAAGTGCAACTTAAATTCATCAAAACCAAGATGGCCGACGGACGACCCCTGCAGGTAAAAAAAAATTTGGTAACATCTAGTAACAACTAAGGAGTAATACAATTGTTCAATCTTCCAAGTGTTGATTTTATGTTGGGACTTTATGCATCGCTGGCTACATTTCAACTATCACTGAGACTGAGATTTTCTTGAAAATACTTCATGTGCACCAGCTTCAATGGATTTATGTTACACTTGGAGTTTTTGCAACAAAAACAATATTTTGTGCAGATTAGCTCCATTATGTGAGTAACATTTAGTGTGTTGCAGCAGGTCATAGAAAGACATTCAGGACAGTGGAGCCAATTCCATCAGAATCAAGTGAGGATAAGACTCGTGGCAGTGATGGTGGAGCTGAGGGGTCAGAAGGGAGGTTCAACGTTTTTGCTTTGCATTAAACTGCATTAGAATATGATAAAATATGTCACCACATTGGTTTAACAGGATTAAAAATATAGTTTTCACATACATATCATTTTATTCATCCATCCATCGTCAGCCGCTTATCCTGCGTACAGGGTCATTTTATTCATTGGTTTGTTAAATAAGGACGCTCTCTGAAACTCTGATCCTGCAAGTGAAGGCTTCAGTCAGCGATGGATCAGGACCCTCGTGAGCTTGGTGCAGGGAGGGGGGCGTGTGGTCGTAGGTAAACACGCTCTGATAGTTGTTTGTGTGCAGCGGTGCAACATCAGAGCGTCTCCTGCCCCTACAGGGACCTTCGCCATGTTTCAGTACATCACCTACGAATGAAACCCTGCGACACACGACGAGGTGCCCTGCCTTTTAGGGCCCCGTCGGAGGGTCAACAAATCCCCCTGCAAAGCTGTTAGAGGTGTTTTTCACCACACCAGTGCTCACTGGGTGGCGTACTGCTGCGGGTCTCTCAGATTCTGTGAAGCGGCAGCATATCTGTAATGTAAAAACGTTTTTCTGACGGATGGACAGAAGAAGCCACGCTGCACAGCCAGAGCTGCTTGTGTTCTGGACTTTATTTCCCCAGAAGCCTCTGAAAGCGATTTTAAAATCATGCTGAAGAGGAGTTTCTAAAGAGCACCGTGACTTAGATCAGCTACCAGAAGAACCTGCTGCTGACGGAAACATGTTTCATTTGAAGATTTCATTGTTAACGGTGAGAGTGCATTCACTCTGCTGAGGAGCAAAGTAACGAGTTAGTTAATGTTGCAGAGTCCAGCTTCCTCTCTCTATCACAGCCAGCTGTCCAATCAGCTCATCAGAAATAACCTCACCATCACAGGGTAATCCCGTAGAGTCTCTGCGACCCCCTGTAAGAATCTCTCAGCCAGAGCGCTGTCCTCATATTTTAAAGTGGATCTTTGAGTTTCTTCCTTGTCGTTAAATTTTATTTTTGTGTGAATGAAAAAACGCTTTTGCTAATCTGATAGATGCTAACATGCTAACGCCACGTTGACAAATGATTGTCAGATTGTTGAGGGATGAAGAAACAACAAGTCAGACAGCAGGAACGATGTTTGTCGCTCTTGATTTCTGTGAACAAGAAGGTTTATACAGTCATCCATTCTGATACGCCCTGCCGAGGCCGGAACATCGTCTGGAACACATCACATCAGTACAGTTAATATCCCCCGCAGGTGTATAGGAAGGCTGTTTAATCCGCCATGCGTTCACATTCTGCAACAGAGCAACGTTCCCGTCGGCCCCTTTTTCATCCGCACCTCAGCACCCAAAACAGAGAGTCACTCACTTCCGCTTCCGGCTCATGGGACCTTATTTTGGAAAAATTATGTGCGGTAGTCAACGGCAAGAGACAACTTATCTTTTTATTTAGAATTGGAAGGAGAGAGAGGGGAGGGAGGCAGCCTACACAATATCCACACAGAGGTACAGACAGTGAAGGTGATGTTGCTATAGACTAAATGAAAAATGGTACAGATATTTATAATAGTGTTAATGATAACAATCGTAATGTTAATGATTATAATAACAATAATAACAATAGCAACAATAGTCGTTGCAGCAGAGGGTGTCAAGCAGGAACACGGGGGCAGCAGGTGACCCGCAGCCACAGATCCAGACTCCACAGCTCCAGAGCCAGAAAACCTGCAGGAAGTGATAGGAGAGAGGAGAGGGACGAGAAAGCACAAGACTACCAGAAAGGGGAGAAGTTGTGTTAGTAACATGCAATAATGGGATGAGGTTGCATACAGAGGGAGAGAAAGTAGAGGAGAGAGGAGCTCAGTGCATCATGGGAAATCCCCCGGCAGTCTAGGCCTATAGCAGCATAACTAAGGGATGGTTCAGGACTCACCTGAGCCAGCCCTAACTATAAGCTTTATCAAAGAGGAAAGTCTTAAGCCTACTCTTAAATGTGGAGATGGTGTCTGCCTCCTGAACCCAAACTGGAACCTGGTTCCACAGGAGAGGAGCTTGATAGCTGAACGCTCTGGCTCCTAGTCTACTTTTGGAGACTCTAGGAACCACAGGTAACCCTGCATTCTGGGAGCGCAGTGCTCTGGTGGGGTAGTAAGGTACTATGAGCTCTTTAAGATAAGATGGTGCCTGACCATTAAGAGCTTTGTAGGTAAGAAGAATGATTTTAAATTCTATTCTGGATTTTACTGGAAGCCAAAATTACAGGTCATTCAGGTTTTAACATCCTGAAGGCACATTTGAAGTTTAGCTAACTGATGAGTTTCATCTGGTTTGATCGATAGATATAACAGAGTATCATCTGCATAACAATGAAAGTTTATGGAATATTTCCTGATAATATTGCCTAAAGGAAGCATATATAAAGTGAAGAGGATTGGTCCGAGGACAGATCCTTGAGGAACTCCATGAGTAACTTTGGCGTGCATGGAGGACTCATCGTTAACATCTACAAACTGAAATCGATCTGATAAATAGGACTTAAACCAGCTTAGAGCGGTTCTTTTAATGCCAATGAAATATTCCAGTCTCTGCAATAGGATCTGATGGTCAATGGTATCAAATGCAGCACTAAGATCTAATAAAACCAGTACAGAGACAAGTCCTTTGTCTGATGCAATAAGGAGGTCATTAGTAATTTTCACCAGTGCTGTCTCTGTGCTATGATGAGCTCTAAATCCTGACTGAAAATCCTCAAATAAACTATTGCTCTGTAGAAAGTCATACAGCTGTTTAGCAACTGCTTTCTCCAGGACCTTAGAGAGAAATGGAAGGTTAGATATAGGTCTATAGTTTGATAAAACATCCGGATCAAGTTTGGGCTTTTTCAGAAGAGGTTTAATTACAGCTACTTTAAAGTACTGTGGTACATAGCCTGTTGTTAGAGATAGATTGATCATATCTAGTAGAGAAATGCTGACTAAGGGTAAAACATCTTTAAGCAGCCTAGTCGGGATGGGGTCTAAGAGGCAGGTTGATGGTTTAGATGAAGAAATTATTGAAGTTAGTAGGTAAAGATTGAGGGAAGCAAAACAGTCTAAACATGTATCTGGTTCTACAGCTGTTTCTAAGGTTCCTGAGTTAAGAGATAAGTCGGTGCCAGTTGAGGGCAGGTCTTGGTGAATTTTGTCTCTAATAGCTAGAATTTTATCATTAAAGAAGCTCATGAAGTCGTAACTACTGA